GAGGCTTCTTGGGCTACCTTGGAGCGGTCTTGGAGGCCTCTTGGGCCGTCTTGGAGCGTCGGGATGCCCAAAAGCTGAACCCCCGAAAATCAATCAAAAATCGATGGCAAGACAATGCTTTGTCGCTCTAGGAGCCTTCGTGGGAGGCCTCTTGGAACCTCTTCGGCCCCCTGGGGAGTTTCTTGTGGCCTCTTGGGGCGCTCTCGGGCCTTCGAGGCTTCCGGGGCTGTCTTGGAGCGGATATGGGGGCCTCTTGGGCCATCGTGGAGCGTCGGGAAACTGGAAATCCTTCAACAATCCTTCAAACAAAACTGGAAAAGGCGAGAACTCGAAAATCCTTTAAAAAAACAATGGGAAATCAATGATTGTTGCCTCGTGGGGCTCCTTGCGAGGCATCTCGGATGCCCCGACAAGGAGGCCCTTTGGACAGTCAAGGGCTAATTCTGGGGTCATCTCGGGCCGTCGTTGATGTTTTCGCGGTCGCGCCAGTTCTGCCGAGCTACCGCCCTCATGCGTCCACCGCACCCAGTACAGCGTTTCGTGGCCCCGTAGGGAGCGTCACCGACGGCGCCAATGCTACCGCTCGTATGCGTCCCCCCCGCCCGGTGCAGCGTTTCGTGGCCCCATAGGAGGCTTCGCCGAAGAAGATATGCACAACTGCGGTGCCCACAACTGCGTATGGTTGGGTCCTTCGCCAGGATCATTTTGGGGGGGTCCTCTTAGAAACCTTCCAAACAAACCTTCGTCAGAAGGTTGTTCGATGGTCTCTTCAAAAGCAAATAAATTTAAAAGAAAACACCTTCCTCAGAAGGCGTTTGGAAGATTGCGAAAGGACGCCTCAGACACGACCTTCCAAACACCTGCCTCAGTTCAGGAGGGCTTCCATATAAAAACATTCCAAACACCTTCCTCAATTAGGTTTTTGGACGGCTTCCCCGAAAGACCTCCAAAACAAACCTTCCTCTGGAAAACCCGAAGTTCGTGATTTACCCACGCGTCCCAACCGCCACACACAATCGACGAAATCACCAAGCTAGGGCGGAACGGTCGCCACACCTGGCCCGCGGGGCCCCGACGGCCGCTTAGAAAATCACCATGAGACGTACACGCGCACACACGCGCAAATACGCTGACGCACCCACCCGACACAAACAAACAGGCAGGCAGGACGCAAACGGGGGACAGGGAGGCTAGACTGACAGACAGGCAGAACGAAAACGGAGAGACGGGTGGAGGGAGAGAGACAGAGAGAGAGAGATGGAACAAACAAATAACAAAACTTACGAAAAGAAAACAACATTACCCGGGCGAAGGACCCAACCCTATGCACTTGTGAGTGCCGCATTGTGGGTAACGCTCTCGGTGGAGCTCCCAACGGGGCCACGACCCTCGTGAGGGGTGTGCCGAAATCGGCGGGGGGGCGCATGCGACACGCCGCGGGGGCCTTCGGTGGAACTCCCTATAGGGCCACGATCCTCGTGAGGGGTGTGCCGACATGGGCGGGGGGACGCATGCGGACCCTGCCGCTGGGGACTTCGGTGGAGCTCCCTATGGGGCCACGATCCTCGTGAAGGGTGTGTCGAAATGAGCGGGGGACCGCATGCGGACCCTGCCACTGGGGCCTTCGGTGGAGCTCCCTATGGGGCCACGATCCTCGTGAGGGGTGTGCCGAAATGAACTGGGGGACGCATGCGGACCATTCCGCTGGGGCCTTCGGTGGAGCTCCCTATGGGGCTGACATGGGCGGGGGGACGCATGCGGACCCTGCCGCCGGGACCTTCGGTGGGGCTCCCTATGGGGCCACGATCCTCGTGAAGGGCGCGCCGGAATGGGCGGGCGACGCATGCGGACCCTGCCGCTGGATCCTTCGGTGGAGCTCCCTGTGGGGCCACGGACCGTGTGAGGGGTGTGCCGAAATGGGCGGGGGGGCGCATGCTGACCCTGCCACTGGGTCCTTCGGTGGAGCTACCTATGGGGCCACGAGCCTCGTGAGAGGTGTGCCGACATGGGCGGAGGGGCGAGTGCAGACCCTGCCGCTGGGGCCTTCGGTGGAGCTCCCTATGGGGCCACGATCCTGGTGAGGGGTGTGCCGAAATGGGCGGGGGAACGCATGCGGCGGACCCTGCCGCTGGGCCCTTCGGTGGAACTCCCTATAGGGCCACGATCCTCGTGAGGGGTGTGCCGAAATGGGCGGGGGGACACATGCGGACCATGCCTCTGGGGCCTTCGGTGGAGCTCCCTATGGGGCCACGATCCTCGTGAAGGGCGCCCCGAGATGGGAGGGGGGACGCATGCGGACCCTGCCGCTGGGGCCTTCGGTGGACCTCCCTATAGGGCCACCATCCTCGTGAGGGCAGGGGGACGCATGCGGACCCTGCCGCTGGGGCCTTCGGTGGAGCTCCCTGAGGGGCCACGAACCGTGTGAGGGGTGTGCCAAAATGGGAGGGGGGACGCATGTGGACCCTGCCACCGGGTCCTTCGGTGGAGCTCCTTATGGGGCCACGATCCTCGTGAAGGTCGCGCCGAGATGGGCGGGGGGGCGCATGCGGGCCCTGCCACTGGGGCCTTCGGTGGGATTCCCTGTGGGGCCATGAACCGCGTGAAGGGTGTGCCAAAGTGGGCGGGGGGACGCATGCGGACCCTGCCACTGGGGACTTCGGTGGACCTCCCTCTGGGGCCACGAACCGTGTGAGGGGTGTGCCGAAATGGACACGCGGATACCAAAGTCACGACGCTGACGATGGCGATGTTAATGACGTCGATGATGGCGATGGTAATCACAGTGAAGATCACGATAATGATGGTGAGGACGGCACGCGGAGAGGAGAGGCAGGGATGGGAGGAGGGAGGAGGGGGAAGAGGAGGGGGAAGAGGAGGAGAGGAGACGCGGGGCGCTGTCCCTTCAAAACGATGACCCAGCACCACAGGATGGTTTGGAAAAACATGGAAGATAAACAACAAAGGGAGGTACCCTAATTTGATGATTTCCCCACGCGCCCCCCACCCCCTGCCACACAACGCCGACGAAAACACCAAACTGGGGCGGAGCGGTCGGAGAACCTGGCCCGCGGGGCCCCAACGGCCGCGTAGAAAACGACCCGACCATGAGACGCCCGCGCACACACGCACACACACGCACACACCCACACACACGCACACACACACACGCACACACACACACACACATACGCTCACACACGCACATACGCGCACACATACGCTGACGCATCCGATACAAACACACAGGCAGGCAAAAGGGGGACGTGCAGATTGGATTGACAGGCAAGCAAAGCGAAAGCGGAGAGGGGAGGGGGGGGAGAGTGTGAGAGAGAGGGAACAAGGAAACAACAAGGACGAGGGGCCCCCGAATTTGGTGATTTTCCCGTGCGCCCCCCCCAGCCGCCACACAAAGCCGACAAAATCACCAAACTAAGGCTGAGCGGTCATTATACCCGGCCCGCGGGGCCCCAGCGGCCCCAGGCCGCAGCACGCACGTGGCACCCAGGGCCCCCTAAGTGGCGCCTCTCCTTTGTGGGCATTCCAGAACCCGCCTGAGCTTCCCAAGGAGGCCCCCGGAGCGGTGGTGAATTTCCCAGAGGGCCTCGCGACTGTTCCACGAGGCTCCCAGGCTGCCCCAGGCAGCTTCCGGCGGTATGCCGAGGGCTGGTGAAGCCGCCAGAGTGCCCACACAGGAGATCCAAGAGGGCGACAACAGTCAAACACCAAAGACATTCCGCCCCAGCGTGTCTTGCTTTCTTGTCTCGAGTTGATATGCGTTGCGAACGCGTGGCCCTAAGATTGCCCCAGAGGCCCAAGTTGACCAGAAGGAAGACCCAGGGCCACTGACCGAAAGGATGACCCAAGACTGCCTTGAATACCAATCCCAAGCACGAAATCAGCAGCAAAGGCGTGCGCTTCTGAGCCAAGGATTCGTTCATCCGGACACGAAACGTCTGACGCGCTATGCTAGGCCCCATGGCACGTTTGACGTGAGCGCGGGCGAAGGAGGCGAAGCGTGCGCGATAGTTCTAGTCAAGGACCCTCAATCCGAACTATCACTCGGATTCCTGTCTTTGGGAAGTGGCTTTCGACACTGGCAGCAAGCGCAAAAAAAAAACTCCGATGCGGTCGCCAGGTGCAACGGAGAGGTTGCAACGGGGCCCAAGACTGGGCCCCCGCGACCTAGTCTGGTGATTTCCTCGACGGGGCAAAAACAGGGTGTGGGCGCGAAAATCACAGAGATAGGTTTTGTCCTTCCCCGTTTTCGTCTTTTCTTTCCCTGATTCCTGTCGCTGTTGCGATTCTAGATTACGCGATGGTCGCGGCCGTCGGGGTAGGTTTTGGACGCAGTACGTTGGATGCGCATCTTTTCCACGCTGTGTTTTCTCCGCCACCCACGAACGCATCGGCGTCGTCGTCGTCCGCTGTAGGGGAATCGTTGTCGTCATCGTCGTCGTCGTCGTCGTCGGTAGATTGGTCGGTCGGTCGTCCTCCATCCTCCTGTTCCTCCTCGTCCTCCACTCCCCCCTCCTGCTCCTCCTCTTTTTCCGCTTCCTCCTCCTCCTCCTCCTCCTCCTCCTCCTCCTCCTCCACCCCCTTCCCCCTGCACCTCCTCCTCCTCCTCCTCCTCCTCCTCCTCCTCATGCTCCTCCTCCTCCTCCTCCTCCTCCTCGTCTCGCTACCCCCTCCTCCTGCCACTCCTGCTCCTGCTCCTCCTGCTCCTCCTGCTCCTCCTGCTCCTCCTGCTCCTCCTGCTCCTGCACCTGCTCCTGCTCCTCCTCCTCCTCCTCCCATCCCCCTCCTCGTCCGCACTCCGCCCATCTGGCTTCTTCTGAACCCTTGCGCCATTGCAACACACCGCCCTCTCATGGAGAACCCCACCCCAGCCGAACGCCAGGCACTCGAAGAACCCTACGAAACATCACTCCATCTGCAGATATCCTACCCATCACGCTTCCCATGTAGCTACCCCAACACACCTTTCCGTGTCCGTTTCCACTGCTCAACCTTTGCGTTTCCGGTGTTCGGCCTTCCCTGTTTCCAGGGTTGAGAACAGCCTTTCCAGGGTTGTGGAACAGCCTTTCCAGGGTTGGCTGGAGCTCAGGTTCCCAGGGTCAAGACCTTGCCTCTCGGGTTCAACATTTACCCTCTTGAACGCTCCTAGAGGACCTCCACGTGCTGCTTCATAAATGCGAAGGAAATTACAAGAAAAAAACAAACGAATTAGAAGCGACCCGTGGATGGTCAACCTCCGCAGAGAAGATAATTCGGTCTGAATCATGTGCTCCCACTGGCAGGCTGGTCCCTCACTGCCGGCAGGCCCTAACTGGAGGGGCTGGCATCGATAACAGAAAGAAAGGTGTGGTCTGGGAGAAGGACCTCCCACGTGGACAACTCCGTCGGCCACGACTCGCAGTCCTGGAGTTCTGCGGGGCGGGTGAAAAAGTCCTGATCCGTATACTCCGTCGCATTCATTCCCAAGACGACGCATAGGGAGGAGGAACCGTCGCCTACCACAAACTGCCCCCTGCTCGTGAACGAGAATTTCTGCCTGTCGCTTCCGGAACTGACACAGCTCGTGAGGCTGAAGGTGGACCCAGCTTGAAGGTCTCCGCGGACAGTGAGACAAGCAGGATCCCCATGATGCGCCTTCCATGATCTGCCGTTCGCCGACCCGCTGTACAGCGGGTTGCAACGCTCATTGAAGTTGACGGAACGGATTTGATGCTTGTCGGGGTCGTACTTGAACTGGGTGTCCTCGCCCTCGGTCTTGCAGCTGTGGCCCTGGATGCTGCCGCACTGCGGGTGGGGCGGGGAACCGGCGATGTCCAGGCAATAGCTCCGGAAATTTCGTGGATCCACAATGGTCGCGAGGTAAACGTTGGGCCCAGGCGCGTAAGGGTTGCCCTCCACCTCGGCCTCGGCGCGAGACTCCTCCAGCTCCTCCTCCTCCGTGGGGGCCCGAGAGCCCGTCAGCACCGAGCGCCGCTGAAGGGCCTCGACGCGCGCGGCCGCGTGCTCGCACTCCTGCTGGGTGTCCACCTCCGCCTCAGACCGCGGCGCGCTGGCGGCGCCGAGCGAGGCCGCGGCGGCGAGCCCCGAAGCCACCGCGAGCAGAGCAACGCGGGCCCCCGCGGCCGGCATCTCTCTGTTTGCGCGCGCCGGCCCGCCTGGCCACGCGCTGGGAGCACGCGCGAGTCTGCGTGAGCACGCGGCAACCGTATAGACTGCACAAGAATGCTCGAGCCGAAATCCCTACGAGGCGTGCCGGGTCTGGTTTTCAGAATGCTCGAAAAAATGCCCGTGCCGTGCCGTGCCAAGCTTGGTTTCTCGAGTGCCAGAAAATAGCCGCACTGTGGCGCGCCCAGGGTTCATACTGGAATCACAGAAAGACCGGCCCGTGCCGTGCCTAGCACGTGGAGAATTGCACGGAAAAGCGCCCATAGGCTTCATAATGCGGGAAAGGGCCGTGCCGTGCGCACGTTTCAGAATGCGAAGAAAAGCCCCGTGCCCGCGTGCCGTGCCGTGCTTGGTCCCGAGAATGCGAGGCATGCGCTGTGCCGCGCCGTGCCTTCGTGCCGTGCCGCACCGTGCGGTGCGATAACTTGTTTCGGGAACGCACAGGCGGTGCCATGCCGCATCATGCTGATCCCGCGTGCCGTGCCGTGCTTGGTTTGTGAATACGGAATAAGTCCCGTGCCGTGCCATGCCCACATGCCGTGGCGTGCTCGGGCTCAAGAATACGAGCCACATGCCGTGTCGTGCCGTGCCGTGCACGCATGCCGTGCCGTGCACGCATGCCGTGCCGCGGCGTGTTTGGCTTCGCGCGTCCGGAACATGGTCGCTCCGTGCCGTGCCTCTGTGCAACACCGTGATTCGTTTCGGGAATGTGACAAAAAATAGCCGTGCCGTGCCATGCGCGGGTACTGTGCCGCGCCGTGTCTCGAGAATGCGGCAAAACTGCCGTGCCGCGCAAAGCCGTGTCCGCGTGCCGTGCCGTGCTTAGCGTCGAGAATGCATAATACGTTGCCGTGCGAACCCGTGCTGCGGTCACATGCCTTGCCACGCTCGGTTGCGCCGAAAAAGAACACTTGACGTGCAGTGCCGCGCACTGCTCGCGCGTCATGTCGCGCTCTCAACTTCGACATGCGAAGATGTTGCCGTGCTTTGCCGTGCCAGGCCGTGCCCCTGCACCTCCTCCTCCTCCTCCTCCTCCTCCTCCTCCTCATGCTCCTCCTCCTCCTCCTCCTCCTCCTCGTCTCGCTACCCCCTCCTCCTGCCACTCCTGCTCCTGCTCCTCCTGCTCCTCCTGCTCCTCCTGCTCCTCCTGCTCCTCCTGCTCCTGCACCTGCTCCTGCTCCTCCTCCTCCTCCTCCCATCCCCCTCCTCGTCCGCACTCCGCCCATCTGGCTTCTTCTGAACCCTTGCGCCATTGCAACACACCGCCCTCTCATGGAGAACCCCACCCCAGCCGAACGCCAGGCACTCGAAGAACCCTACGAAACATCACTCCATCTGCAGATATCCTACCCATCACGCTTCCCATGTAGCTACCCCAACACACCTTTCCGTGTCCGTTTCCACTGCTCAACCTTTGCGTTTCCGGTGTTCGGCCTTCCCTGTTTCCAGGGTTGAGAACAGCCTTTCCAGGGTTGTGGAACAGCCTTTCCAGGGTTGGCTGGAGCTCAGGTTCCCAGGGTCAAGACCTTGCCTCTCGGGTTCAACATTTACCCTCTTGAACGCTCCTAGAGGACCTCCACGTGCTGCTTCATAAATGCGAAGGAAATTACAAGAAAAAAACAAACGAATTAGAAGCGACCCGTGGATGGTCAACCTCCGCAGAGAAGATAATTCGGTCTGAATCATGTGCTCCCACTGGCAGGCTGGTCCCTCACTGCCGGCAGGCCCTAACTGGAGGGGCTGGCATCGATAACAGAAAGAGTGGTGTGGTCTGGGAGAAGGACCTCCCACGTGGACAACTCCGTCGGCCACGACTCGCAGTCCTGGAGTTCTGCGGGGCGGGTGAAGAAGTCCTGATCCGTATACTCCGTCGCGTTCATTCCCAAGACGACGCATAGGGAGGAGGAACCGTCGCCTACCACAAACTGCCCCCTGCTCGTGAACGAGAATGTCTGCTTGTCGCTTCCGGAACTGACACAACTCGTGAGGCCGAAGGTGGACCCAGCTTCAAAGTCTCCGTGGACAGTAAGACAAGCAGGATCCCCACAATGCGCCTTCCATGATCTGCCGTTCGCCGACCCGCTGTACAGCGGGTTGCAACGCTCATTGAAGTTGACGGAACGGATTTGATGCTTGTCGGGGTCGTACTTGAACTGGGTGTCCTCGCCCTCGGTCTTGCAGCTGTGGCCCTGGATGCTGCCGCACTGCGGGTGGGGCGGGGAACCGGCGATGTCCAGGCAATAGCTCCGGAAATTTCGTGGATCCACAATGGTCGCGAGGTAAACGTTGGGCCCAGGCGCGTAAGGGTTGCCCTCCACCTCGGCCTCGGCGCGAGACTCCTCCAGCTCCTCCTCCTCCGTGGGGGCCCGAGAGCCCGTCAGCACCGAGCGCCGCTGAAGGGCCTCGACGCGCGCGGCCGCGTGCTCGCACTCCTGCTGGGTGTCCACCTCCGCCTCAGACCGCGGCGCGCTGGCGGCGCCGAGCGAGGCCGCGGCGGCGAGCCCCGAAGCCACCGCGAGCAGAGCAACGCGGGCCCCCGCGGCCGGCATCTCTCTGTTTGCGCGCGCCGGCCCGCCTGGCCACGCGCTGGGAGCACGCGCGAGTCTGCGTGAGCACGCGGCAACCGTATAGACTGCACAAGAATGCTCGAGCCGAAATCCCTACGAGGCGTGCCGGGTCTGGTTTTCAGAATGCTCGAAAAAATGCCCGTGCCGTGCCGTGCCAAGCTTGGTTTCTCGAGTGCCAGAAAATAGCCGCACTGTGGCGCGCCCAGGGTTCATACTGGAATCACAGAAAGACCGGCCCGTGCCGTGCCTAGCACGTGGAGAATTGCACGGAAAAGCGCCCATAGGCTTCATAATGCGGGAAAGGGCCGTGCCGTGCGCACGTTTCAGAATGCGAAGAAAAGCCCCGTGCCCGCGTGCCGTGCCGTGCTTGGTCCCGAGAATGCGAGGCATGCGCTGTGCCGCGCCGTGCCTTCGTGCCGTGCCGCACCGTGCGGTGCGATAACTTGTTTCGGGAACGCACAGGCGGTGCCATGCCGCATCATGCTGATCCCGCGTGCCGTGCCGTGCTTGGTTTGTGAATACGGAATAAGTCCCGTGCCGTGCCATGCCCACATGCCGTGGCGTGCTCGGGCTCAAGAATACGAGCCACATGCCGTGTCGTGCCGTGCCGTGCACGCATGCCGTGCCGTGCACGCATGCCGTGCCGCGGCGTGTTTGGCTTCGCGCGTCCGGAACATGGTCGCTCCGTGCCGTGCCTCTGTGCAACACCGTGATTCGTTTCGGGAATGTGACAAAAAATAGCCGTGCCGTGCCATGCGCGGGTACTGTGCCGCGCCGTGTCTCGAGAATGCGGCAAAACTGCCGTGCCGCGCAAAGCCGTGTCCGCGTGCCGTGCCGTGCTTAGCGTCGAGAATGCATAATACGTTGCCGTGCGAACCCGTGCTGCGGTCACATGCCTTGCCACGCTCGGTTGCGCCGAAAAAGAACACTTGACGTGCAGTGCCGCGCACTGCTCGCGCGTCATGTCGCGCTCTCAACTTCGACATGCGAAGATGTTGCCGTGCTTTGCCGTGCCAGGCCGTGCCAGCGTGCCGTGCAACGCTCGACTGCGAGGCTGCCGAAAATGCATACACATGGCCGCACCGTGCTGTGCACGCGTGCCGTGTCCTGCTGGATGTCGAGAACTCAAATACCGTAACATCCCGCGGTTGCGGGAAAGAGTGGGGGGGCTGACAAAAAAACAACAACAAAAAAGGCCACAGGGGCCGATCTTTTCGTGAAAACAATGTGGGTGGGAGGCGGGGTGCGTCGCAGATGGGTGGGAGGCGGGGTGCGGTCCCACTCTCCCCACTTCCCCACGGTCCCCACCACTGTTCAACTGTCCCCACTGTACCCACCACTGTCCCACTGTCCCCGCAGCTGTCCCACTGTGCTGTCCCACCGTCCCAAGTCCCCATCACTGTCCCACTGTCCCCGCTGTCCCCACTGTCCTCACCACTTCCCCCACTGTACTACTCTCCCACCACTGCCCTCACCACCGCCTCCACCACTGTCCCCACCACTACTGTCCCCACCACTGTCCACTGTCTCCACCACTGTCCCGCTGTCCCCTCACCACTGTCCCCACCACCACCCTCCCCACCACTGTCCGCACCACTGTCCCACTGTCCAAGCACCACTGTCCTCACCACCACCGTTCCCACCACTGTCCCAGCATCCCCACCATTGTCCAACTGTCCCGAGGAGCGGGAATCGTTTGCCGGCGGCGAAGGGGGGGGGGTTCGAACCAGTAGTGACTCCCACCGGTTTTCGAGGGGGGGGTTCGAACCCATAAGACCCCCCCCTTTTCATGATGGACTTGGGGAGGGGGAGGGGTTCGAACCGGTAGTGACCCCCCCCCAGTTTTCGAGGGGGGGGGACGGGCTGGGAACCCCCAGTGACCCCCCCCCGGTTTTCCGCCAGCATAAGTAGAACACGCCCTTTCATACATATGTATATAGAGAACATACACATACACGCATACATACATACATACATACACACATACACACATACACACATACACACATACATACATACATACATACATACATACATACGTACGTACGTACGTACGTACGTACGTACGTACGTACATACATACATACATACATACAGGCAGGCAGGCAGGCAGGCAGGCAGGCAGGCAGCAGGCAGACAGACAGACAGACAGACAGACAGACAGACAGACAGACGTACATGCAGACACTTACCTACAGTGCGATCATCAAATAAACACATCGCATGAATACATGCAACACGTGATTACACATACATACATACATCACTACATGGCAACATGATTAAGCAAGTAGAAAACTCAATGCATAGCAGATTAACTAATACATTAATACATAAACAAGCACATGCATCAAGCAATCAACTAATCAACAATGCATAACAGATATAGCATAAACGCATACATACAGGCATACACCAACACATGAATAAGTGTGTATGTGTACCTACACGTTTACACATGCACATACCATTATACTTAAGTGTACACACATCTGCATAATATACACATACATATATGTACGCATTAGCAGTTACACTTACATTTACATCCAATTTACCATATACATATACATGATACATTGTACCTTCTGCACATACATAAACAAATACACATACATATACACATACACGTACATACGCACGTGCGTGTGCAGACGCCCCAGCCACGCTGGGATTAAACACGATACCCACTGTAGATCATCCTTGCATGTAGGTGTGGGGGTTCGATGGACAGGCCATGGTCGTTTTGATGGA